TGTTATGATGATTTTTCTACAATAATCGTATCGTTTATATAATAACTATCGTGAGACATACTAAATTAAATTAAATCGCGGGTTACTCACGTGAACATACTGAGCAAAGCTTTACTAGTTTCGAACCACAGAGGGGTTCTTGCACATGGCACAATGTCAGCGTTACAGTGAGCTGCGTGACGTCGCCGCGATTGCGCACGCTGCTCTGTGGTTCGAAACTAGTAGAGCTTTTCTCAGTATATACACGTCAATAACCAGCGATTTTAGTTAATTTAATAATTGTATCATCTATTCATATACTTTGGAAAACAGACAACATGATTCCTTCATGTACAATATTTGACAAATTTTGTAATTAACAGCCTTACTCCCGATTAATTTTCTTTCAGAGTAGACATAGTATGCTCTGCAGACAGCTACCCAGCAGCCACTTACAGATGGTTCAAAGACTTAACAGACGATGTTTTATACGAGTTCGACCAAAAACAAATAAAATTATCAGATGATGGATCCAAGGCGACACTGACCGTTGTGGCAAACCAATCAACGTTTTGGCAACGATACAAATGTCAAGCAACCAACGATTATGGAGTATCAGAGATATATTTCACTTTAATGAAAATGGAGAAACCGAAAAGGCCCAGTGAAGTTAGTACTTAACTCGTCGAGTACCGGTTTTGCAGACACAATTATAGAACAATAGGTTGCGGTCACCGGTGACCGCTTGGTATTTGACAGTTTAATATAATTTATTTATTTATTTTAAGAAGGCTTACCGACTAATACATAGAAAATGATTTTATAAGAGTATAATATTGACAAATTGCCAATTACAAGCCTCTACATATTGATAAAAAGAAAACAAAAAACAAAAAGGTACAAAAAAAGAGTACAGAAGACAATTAATTACTAACAAATATTAATTGTTAGAAGAGTAATTAGAAAAAGAAGTTAACTATCGAAGAAGTTTTGTGCGATTTGATGTCGCAAGGATACTATACTGGTGCAGAATAAGTCGATGTCAAATTCCTTAGACAGTCTATTAAAATCAAGTGCACCTCTTATTGAAATCGAAATAGTCTATAGAAAAATATCTTAGCCAATTGTACCAAGTTTGCGATTTGCTCTGATAATTACCTCAGATCTTTATTAACTGTTATCTTACTAGATTGAACCAGTTTGTGTGAGGGCTAACGTTGAGATTTATATATTTAAGTTTTTCAAGTTATATAATAGGTGGAAGAGTCTAGTTCATTGAGGATAATGAACATTACTGTCCAGTACCGTTAATTAGTTAAATTTCAACAACCCACTTGTTTTCAGGTCAATGTATTTAACGCAACATCAGACGCGCTATATTTGAATGTGACATGGTATGATGACATACATTTTCCAGTTAGTGGTAAGTAACTGATAGATAGTCAGAGTGTAAATATCAAATAAAATTTCCAGTTTGTCTGATTTTTATTATATAGGCCTCTTTTAAAGTAGCCAAATGACTCAGATTAAAATGAGCTAATGCTACTATTTGCCAATTGTTTTCGGAACTGTGGACTAAAAATTATTTATTGTTATTTTTTAAGCGTTCCAAATTCAATACACAACGGAAGAAACTGGTAAAAAGAAGTTCCTTCCACCGAGAGAAGCCACCTGGAGAAAAAGTAAACAGACTGAAGTCAAACTTGAAGAAGATGAAACTATCGATCCTGAAGTTGGAGGTACGTTACTAGATATTTCAAACTTCAGAACTTATTCATTTGAAAAAAGGTTAAGCCTTTTTTAATGTTAACTGGTTTTAATCCTATTATTAGCAGATGGTTAACCAACTTAGGCATCATTTATACGGTGTTTAAATTCATTGTACAGAAGGACGTAATTTTAATGTTCCTAACATAAACTAAAACATTTTAAATTCCTGTAACAGTTAGGAATTAACTATAAAAATACACTGTTCTCCAGGTATCATAATCCCATTAGAGGAACTCGAAGCCGAAACCGCCTATTGGATCCGTTTGAGAGTGACAAACGAGGTTGGAGAATCGATCTGGTCGGATCCTATCCTTGTGTCTACAACCGCCGAATCTGAGGAAACCACTACCACGGAGGCTCCAGAATCCGAGCCAGAAGTCGCTGATAACACAGAATCCATGAATGATGCTACTTTCTATGGTATATTCTTTGCTGGAGGCATTTTTGTGGTAGCTTTCGTGTGTATGTTTGCCATGAGATTGGTTAAATAGTCTCAAGTCTCACTTTTATTTATTTATTTATTGTCTGTTATAAAGTTTGATTATATTGTTTATTTCATAGAATTCGATTTATGAAACTGTATTTTCATTTCCATTGTAAATACATTTTTCCAGTGAATAAAGTGTAGTTTTGTTATTGATTTTGTAGTTTTTTTTTCTAACATATCCTTATATCCTTGAGATAAATAATGTAAATCATGGGGGTATGTTAAAACAGAATGAAAATAACGAAAGAAATGTTTATAAACCATTTTATTAGAGGCAGAAACACCAGTGTAATTAACGTAACAATTAGTGTATATGAAACTCATTGGCCGACAATATGACGTATGTACACAGTAGAAATAACCAGAGACGTGTACATTATATAAATACAAACGGCAATAAACATTTTATAAAACAATCATTTTGTTCAACTACGTATAAATTTTATGTAAATGCTGGGACTGTTTAATATCCACGATGTTAAATATGCAGCACATTTTGTTCGAGGCCTAAAAGAGCCCTTAATTTTAGTGATACCAAGCTTCTTAAGCTAACTTTGCAAGTAATATTTAATGGTACACAATTTCTTAACGTTTTAAGAGCTGAAGAACGCATTGATTGACAATTCCTGTACACATTTTTGTACAATCAATCTCAAAGATTGACGATTTAGATCGTTCCTTTCCAGCTCATATAAAGGGTAAACCTAACTATTTTACCTAAAGAAGCGATACATAGGAAAACAAATATACAATAGAATAATCAGTCTTCCTGCAAGAACATGGCAAAACTGGGACTTAAGCAATTAAAATTGACCAAAACTTGTTAGGCGTTAGTTAGTTGAAATGTAAAAATTAGAAATGATTGTATTTTTTTTTTGGATAAAATACGTACCTGCATAGATATTGTCATAGTTTGTAGTGTTAAGGATTCGTTTTCTTTAATATTTTAAAATAAACTTATTCTAAACAACGACAATAACTTAAAATGTACTTAATAGTATTTATCTACTCGTACATAGTGCTTTATCAGTTCCAGCTAACATACCTATGCGTGTAGGTGCTTTTGGAGTTAACGTTAGTGGCAACTTTTCATTTATCGGAAGAATAAATGTTTAAATTCTAGCAATCCTTAAAATTGTAGTTTCATCGCTCGTCTATCACGTTCTTAAAACACTATTTCTATTGCACATTCATTCTCCATTTAAATAAAAAGTTAACATGAGAACATTTTAAGGTGACGGTATAAAACCTACTTATTTCCTAAAATCAGTGGACAAACACTATCACAAGTGTCACTTACAAAGTAGGTTTAGATTTTACTGAAGATTTCCATGTAGGGTCATTAACTCCAAAAGTAGATACACATACGCCTTTAAACCCTTTTGCATACATACATACATATTACATACATAATATATTATTATATGCGATAACTTATAAACTACGTTATTTTACGCAGATTTAAATAATTTTATAAGTATTTACAAGTGAACAAAAAAAGGTGTACGGCAGAATGCCAAGAAAGTGTGTGCTCTTGTTGCGATTGGTCAAAATTTTGGATGAAAAATTGTTATTCTGTAAAAAAAGTTATGTCAAATACAGGGTCTGTCGTCAAAGTTATACAAACAAAGTATTCATATAATAAAGTTTTCGTCTAACATTTTTTTTATGCATGCCCAAGTAATTTAGTTATGTAAATACCTTATTTAATATGTACTTAAGCAAATCACAGCAATATAACAAACATACATTTACAGTTATGCGCATCCTTTACTTGCAAATAAAATCAAGCCGAAATTCGTTACTACGTTTCTTTTATGTTCATGATGTTAATATTAAATACATACATACAATATTTTAATTAAAAAGTACAACTTCAGGCCTTTTAACTATTAGGAGAATTGAACACTTACTTAAGTATTTAAAACTTTAATAATAGACAATTATTTTGTTCAAATTAGATATTATCTATCTACAATAACTTGGAATGTCATGGGGACAGAATGTTTCATTAATTTAACACTAAACACAATTCAACGATTTGGCTTTATATTTGGCATCGATTGCTAAGTGAACTATGTAGTAAATATTTTCTGTAATCAACTCTGAACTTTCTACGATAATATTTAATTCTGTGATTCAACATACAGTAAATATTTCTTATGTGATAAACGTAACATTAACATTGAACTATACGCACACAAATGTTACAAAATTGTCGGCATCCATCCGAAACTAAACTTAAGCCAGCGAATCACAACAGACCATTTTATACATATACTTTAAAGAAATATCCCCACTTCAAACAAAGCTGTTTTTTTAAAAAGGACCAAACATACGCATGCACATGGTCACGGTGATGAGGAGTAAACTGGCACTAAGCCTGATAGCGTCATCAGTGGTCGCTGCATTGCCTGCTTCCAACCATTCAGAGTTACCCGCGGCGTTGCGCGTACGCACACGAACGTGGAATACTGTGCTGTTTGATAGAGGTCCTAACGTGAACAGAGTATCTGAAAAAGAATAAATTAAAATCAAAGAACTACACACCTAAATTAGATTAATATTTGAAAGTGACAAATGTTATCTGGTAAAGATAGACAGTCTTTTATTGCAGCTCGTTACTCGTTCCAGGATTTCAGAGATTCAATCAGTACTTGGTATATCAGAATCTGAATCTGGTTTTTGCAAACAGCTGTCGTTGTTTTTGAGAAAATTAAAAATAAACTCACTGTTAGCGCTTTCGATGTCAACGCGGAATTCGGGTGCTCCATCCCAGTCAGCCGGATAACCGAGCTTAAGAGGAGTAAGCTGGAAAATGTAGCCTGAAATAATGAGATAAGTATTTTCACTGTCCTCGTTATCGGTCCTACATCAAGTAAATTTTTTCCATTTCATTATTAATTTCTTCAGACCTCTATCGAGATTTTTGTATAATCCTTTATTTTTATTTAATTTTACTCTATAAAAACTTAGAATTTAAAGTGTCTTAATTATACTGAAACTATATTTACCAATAACAGTGAGGTTTTTCGGATCGGGTGATTCGGGCACTTCATCTGGAGTAGCAAAGTTGCAAGATGAGCAGGTGACGTTGAAGGTAAGATTGGTTGTATTAGCCCCTGCCAGTTGGACCTGCATTTGAAAGTGGGTAGAATTAATAAATTTGAAAAGTTACAAGTAAGTTTGTGGCCCATTTCATTTAAAGTAAGCTATCTTATAAGTTTGGGCGTGTTAGTTCTAGTCTAAGGCGGTTTTCTAAAGATCAAGATGATACAGACTTGTCTGAATGGAAAATAATGTGTTAATGAGTTTTGGTATTATAGCTCCTACTTACGGTATCTGGTGGTAGAGGCTTGGAGCCAGGGTTCACGTGGAAGATGATGGATTCGGAACCCTTGTCATTGGTTGCAGAACACCTGTATTCACCATAGTAGGATTCGTCTCGAATTCTTAGTACAAGCACGGAGTTGGTACCATCTTCGGAAGTGATCACCTGCAAATTAAAATGAACAAATTTTACATTCAATACTATTTTTTATTTAAGGTGTCCGAACATTTACTTTACTTGAGCAGAGATTAAGTGAAAAAAAAAACAGTTTTACTTGGATGTCGGTTTTTTACGATCGAGTAAGAAGTTCTATAAGATAGAGATACAATGTCTTGAAAAATACTTTAAAAGAAAAAATATTTTTCATACTTGTGTAATTATGTTATTATTATTACCGTATCAGAGTCCGTGATGGCATCGTCATCGTAACCGTTGTTCCTTTTGAACCACTTGTAGGTTGGAGGTGGGTTCGCAATGGCACTGCAAGTCACATTTTTGCTGGAAACATAATAAAATAATTGTTAATTCTAGACTAAATTGCATAAGATATAGTTTTAGGAGTTGATAAACGTTTTTACTTTAGTTGTTATACTTACGTGTCACCCAAAATTGCGTAAACCTCTTCAGTCTTGTATTTTGTGTTTGTGTAAATCATCTGTGTATCACTGTTGTACAAAATTGGTTTATCTGAAAACAATATTGTGCAATTTTATTGTCACAAACACAAAGGTTAGTGTATTTAAGCTAATATCAAGAATCGATCTTAACTTAAATACTCTTGATTGATCTTGATTTTTGACAGAAAATCTCTAGAGCTAATGTAAGAAATCGAGTATCGGAGATCAGTTAGATACCTACTTCTGTTAACAAGGTTCTAAAATTGACATTGTATATGTAGGGAAATAAAGTCTTACGTTGAACAGACAGATGAACAGTCTTCTCAGTGTAGTGTGACAGAGCCTTTTGTCTCACTTTGCACACATAAAGGCCAACGTCGGCGTGGTTCAATTTCTTGATCTCTAAGGTGTTGTCTGGCTTGATGGTGTATTTCTTGGGGTCTTCCTTATCTGAAATTAGAGAATTCGTTACATATTGATGTTAATTCCTAAAACATCATAACATAACAACATCTTTGTAAGGTTATTTTTTACGTTTGTGGAAGTTGTTAGTGTAATTTTTGAAGCTGATGAGCTCTTGGTTTCTATTTCCACGTTCGACAAAATGATTTTGGAAATTCTTGGTAACTACACGAAGTTTAAAATTATGTCTGATATTTTTTTAAGATCTGACGGACCACCTGATGGTAAGCGATCGGCGTCGCCTACGGACACCAGAAACACCAGAGGCGTTACAAGTGTTTCTATTATGTAGGACTTAAGATGCATATGAAGGTGCATTGTTCATTAGAAGTACTTACCCCTAATTTGATGCTTGTCCTTGTACCACACGACGACTGGAAGAGGGTAGCCGTTGGCCTCGCAAGTCAACTTCACAGATTTTCCTTCTTCACCCTCCAGAGTGACGTTTCTATCGGTGATGTTTACTTTTTCTGAAATAAAAGTTAAGTTTTTTTAATATACATATTTTCCATACAAAAAAATTGTAACCATTTATAGTTTACAATATGGGTAGGGCTAGCTTAGAAGCCAACTCGTTAAAGCAGAAATAGATGGCTAGTTTTGAAGTCAACTCGTCAAAGCATAATTTGGGTTTCGATTTTGAACCAGGGATTTCTGCATTTAATTTTTTTTTTATATTCAGAAATATTTATTCTCTACTGACACTTAGTTCGTGCCTGTGATAAAATTTGTTGTTGTTTAGTTTGGGATATTTTTTATTTAGAATTCTTAATGAAAACTCCAAATTGAGCCTTTTGTCAAACACCTGTCTATATGGTATATCTTATCCTCTTTTTTCTTATATTCTTCTTTCGCTCATACGTACCTCCGACTATAAACTCCTTCGTTTCACTTTGGTTCCCGGCTTTGCAGGTCCAGTTGCCTCCATCGCTGATCTTGATACGATGGATGATGAGGGGCACTAGGACTCCATTGTCTTCCGTCTTCCGTTCCACGAACACTCGACTATTCTTGGTAGATCGCTCCTCGACTAACTTGCCCGAGGGGGAGTACCATTGAATAGGCTGAAAGAAGAATATGAAATAATTATTATAGGTATATAATATGTTATTAACCGACTTCAAAATGAAAATAGGTTCTCAGTTCGACCTATAAGTATGTACGTTTGTGCGCAATCATCTCGCGATTGGCTGAACCGATTTTGATGCGGTTTTCAGAAGTGTTTGTTGTAGTTAGAAGAAGGTTTTAGTATATCGATTAACCGACTCCAAAAAGGCTTCAAGTCGGTTTTTTAACGTGGTTTATAAAAGAATTATACTGCTACTACTACTATTAGTATGAGGACCGTAAACACGACTGTTGAACAAAGGTATAGGAACTGCGTGAATTAGATTCTCGGTTAAGGCAAATTTTTACGATTTTCGGGTTATAATAATTCTCGGAAACTGCTTGAGTTTTGATTTTGCCTGGCTAGTATACTATTACATAGAGAACTTAAAATATAAATAACAAGTTGTAGTGTTATGAAATGCATACTAAATCTACAAAATAGGAACACTAGTCGCTCCTATAATTTTTGAAAGTTTCTAATTTCTCTGGTCTTCCATCGTCAGATCCTGATTTACTTATTACGGGACCATTCTAGGATCTGATTAAAAAAAAAGAATTATCGAAAAATAACGGAGATATCGGTGAAAAAACTTAAAAAAAGTACATAATATACGGTCGAATTGAGAACCTGCTCCTTTTTAAAGTCGGTTAAAAGTAGTTTTCATGTGGAATAGCTATATTTTTATGATATAATATTTTACTATGTAAAAATGCAAAAGGTACGTACTTCTACGAGATTTTCTCCTTTACAGAAGATGGCTTTGGTTTCGCCGACGTTGTACACCGTCGACCGCGCCATGATGCGTAGAGTTGGCTCGGGTAGTACCTCATCTGGTCGGACTGTAAGCAAAAAAGAGGGAAATTAAAATCACTACCTATTTAAAAATAAAATTCGCACATATTTCTTCCTTTTATCTTTTAGAATTGATCTTGAATATATTATTTAAGACGTTAAATTATTTCTTTATACTGTCTTTTGGTTCAGAATGACGTGTAAGAAAAAGTTTGTTTGCACGTGCCATTTTCTAGTAAATAAAACATTATTTTACTACTGCCTCGTTCGTCCAGTGGTTACAGCTAGATGTCTCGGGTTCGATTCCTGAACCGGGAGAATTTATACTGTTTTTTTTATCTCAGTAGTAGCACGGAGTCTGGCATTGGGCCTGGTATATGGCAATAGGCTCACCCCTTATTACATGGGACTCAACATAAACATAAATAGTGCAAAGTAGATATTATATTGTACAGTGGCATTAAGTGCCATAATGTGCACCATAAAAGGCGTGATGTTATGTTATGTAAAACATTATATGACATTGTGATAAAGAATAAATAAAATCTAAGTCTCTATTTATTATTTCTAAAATTAGGTAACCATACAAAATTATTACTGAACAAAACTAAGTGGAGAACATTGATGTGGTTGAAGTATTCACAGTGAAACTTGTCGTGTCCACAAATTCCGGTCACACGAAACTTTGTCCTGTCGCCACTCGACAGTGCAACACTTAGTTTTGTTGGAAAATGCACTAATATTAGCGCATATTATGTATTTATACAAAATGTAAAGACCATATACATTCATAGTTTAATTTAATAAAAGATGTTTAAGAATCCCATTTTCGTCGAGTGATTGTAAGTTTGAATGCTGATCGAAGAAGCAATGGTTTAGAAATGTATTAATAATAATAATAGGTACGTTAATATTGCTTTTTACTTTGTAACTAGTATTAAAAATGTTACTTTTAGAGAATTTTAAATAAATATATGGAAATAATACGTTTATTTCAAAGGTGCATAAAAATTTGACAAATTAAAATTAAAAGAAGACATGTCGAAACATACAATACAATAAAAATTTGGATAATATTGTTAATCTGTATCACGTAGGTAGGTTCGAGATCTAAATAGACAGACTGGTTCATAGTGTAAAGCCATTGGCTATAAAACACCAATCACTAACCACATACAAACGTCATACTACCAAAACGTTACATTGCTACGTGAAAGAAAGTCAAACAAACAAACACACTTTACAATAATATTAGTAAGGATAATCTAATTTGCACGAGTGTATGTTTCCAAGATAATGTGCAAAGTGTAAGTAATTGGTTGTTACCACAGGTGTGGACGTGTGGGTGCGTCATGTGACCTGGAATACCTAGACACCTAGCTGTAGATAGACTAGGTACTATTTGAGGTAATGCGGCTATATTATTATCATATTCGTGCCTAAACATACTTATTGTAGAATTAGGAATGGTGTGTGTTTAAGGGGCTTGAACTTAATAGCCTTTTATACGAGTCTGGCTAGTCTGGTTATAATAACTTTCAATGGCGACCAATGTGTATGGTTTTAGTTAATTTCATATCATAGTTGGAGTTTATTTTCATATTTTAGGGTGGAGGATGTGATTTGTGAAGGCTCATAAATAAATAGGCGTTTATTAGTGTTCTTTAAATGGGTTCCAGGAATAGTGAACCATCTCAGTGGTAGGTATGGCAACATCAATCAGTCAAATCAGTTTCACAGTTGTGTAAATCATATTCCTACATAAACATTTTAAATGTAATGCAATTTAGATTAAGGAAATAATCTTTCATCTTTCACAAGGAAATAAACAAAAATATTACATTCAAGCGATAAGCATCTTACTTCTTATCTTTTGCAGAATCCTTCTTAAATTTAAAGCAGCTTATCGCGCTTAGCATTGAGTCGACGATCATTTACTGCAATTACAACCGTAATTTACAATTAAAAGAGTAGTTTTTTGTTTGATAAATGTTGGCAGCAGATGGTCTTTACAGCTCGCTTGCAAAGAACGGATAAGCTCTTAAAGCGCTCAGACGGGGCAGTTACGTACTATGCACTAACGAATTTAATTGCCAAAGAAAAAAATACTAGGAATGTAGGTCGGTGGCAAATATTTTATTGTAATAAAATATTCATTAGCATCTACAAATTGATATTCTTTTGTTTAATGATTCGATATTACGACCACACCGTCGATAGTAGTAATAAAATAAGTAGGTACATATAAAACATTTTTCTACACTGACACTCAAGCGGCTACTAAACCAAAAGACACATTTTCACTCAAAAATGAACTTTAAAACCACCTAAACAACGTAATTAATTATTCAGATTAATTATCATCCATTTAAACTAGAAGTATGTAAAAGCATTTAATGAATAAATTAATCCCTTGTCAGTTGGCGTTGAGGACATGTTGGAATGAGATGTCAAAGTATTATATTTCCTTAATGGAATATAATGTATACCTACTTGTCTTCGTATATTTCGCGGAAAACTTGACAGATATGGGTACTTACATACAAACATTTATCTATATTTATAGAGAGTAACAATTGCCTCAAGCTTTGTCCGTAGGGCAAAAGGAAGTTAAGCTATGTATGGCGTATGTCAACGCGATAAGGGGATTTAAATCTACAGCAGCGACATCTATGATTTATTTATTGGTAACCAGTATTAATTATGATATGTTCATTTAATGATTATTTTTGGGAAAATGAGTTATTTTAAAATCTATACAATAATTTCTGTCAAAAACTTTTTATTGACCAGACATTTTTCATACAGTAATGCATGACATAAGAGGATTCATAAAACATACATTATTGCTTTTATTTCACTCATTCCTTCCCATAATAAAAAAGAAATATTAATATAAGGGATACATTCATTACGGATTATTACATCGTCACATCAGCTTAACCGTATAATGCGAAGCCATCTTACATAGAAACATGTACAAGTATAGATGCACAAACACACAGACGTACCCCATAACCGTGTCAACGTCACGCCATGATTCAATGGGTCTTAATTACTTTTTTCTTTTACCCTCGTCTCATATTCCACGTATAAAGAAGAATATTTCGGCAATCATCAATTAATATCCTGATTGCTTCTTCGCTTTTGACAAGGAAGCCATTAAAATGTGAATGCGATTTCCTCAAAATGTCTTTCAATAAGGTTTATATTGATAGAACAGCAGATCAATGTCAAATTAAGGACACGTTTTTAGTTAGTACATTGACGAGATTTTTTTTATTGATATCAGTATATGAATCTTACCGTCTATGTTTTTTAATGTTTAAAAAGGTTCAGTTAGTCGTAAGATAACCTCTTGCTACACTGACTTGGACTTTACACTTGACCGGGAACTTTGTCATTTTTGCGAAAAGCTAAATTTTGATTTGTTAATACGTTCTTTATAAAATTACTATAAGTATATTCACATAAAATATTAATAACTTCTTGGGTGAAAATTTTATGAAAATCTATTTGGCATTATTTTCGCTTGAAAGATTTGAAATTTGTTAATTAATTCACAACTTGTAGGTACCTATGTCGTACTTATGGAATCAGTTAACTCGATACATATTAGTAGCAGTAAATTATCAATGAATTAACAGGATATTATTAGCTGTACGTCAATTAAATGTCCAATGCAGAGCATGCATAATAACATGTAACGTTAGGTAAATATATTATTATTATATTAATTAGACCATTATTATTAGTATATGCGACGGGTAATTGCCCTCATGTTAGTTATATGTAACATATTATGTATACTTGTCGTGCAACATACCATAAACGTACAAATATTTTCAAAAAATATGAATATACGTAAATATAAATATGGTAGGTACCTACTCGATTACTTGCGAAACTTCCTAAAAATAAATGAGTCTGTCTACACACAAAAAAGTTGTTTGAGAATATGTATCTAGTGTCTATATATAGGCATAACAGAAAACTAACATCCCAAGCAGATGAAAATAAGAAAATAGAAAGCTGCTCCCCAATAAGTGAGCAAGAAATAAATCATTTTGACACTTATTACTAAGATGAGTAACGACCAACAATAACTTTTGGAGGTTTTTTTAAAAATATAACACGAAAATAATTAGAGGCTGAGGAAGGCATTGCTCCTTAATGATCAGTATTGTTTTGATTAATGTTCACATTTGTTTGTTATGAGAGCCGAAATTATTAATGTGAAGAAGTCGCTTTCCCTGAAATGAACGGCAAAAGTAGACACAGTAACATTTTAATTTCATTTTTATAACTTTGTTTTTTTTTTAAACACTTTCTCAACATTTTACTTTTATTAATAAAGAACTTATTAAACTAATATTTAAGTTCTCGTTTAGCAAATGAGCTCAATTTAATATTGTCTAAGAAATTAAAACTTCCCCTAATTAGTTCTTAACTAAAACTAAAAACTTCAATATTTTCCTTATCACCGTTCAACGCTTAAGCAAGATAAGAAGCTAAGTCAGGGGTTGTCAACAAAAGTTTAATGTCTGTAGGAAAACATTAAGGACATGAGAAGTGGTCAAAGTTGGACGCAGGCGTGGCATAAAGTCCACAACTCCATCTTAATGCTGCGTGGCGTCCATTAGCAAGTTACATGGAGTCCACGGGACCATGCCGAAATGTAACGAAATGGAATCTTTGTATTACACAAGTTTGAGATGTGTTATTGCACTACTGACGATGTGTGTTACGCGGACATCAACTTATAACGTCAACACAATCTCTTCTAACAAAGCAAGAACATGTTTTTTATAAAAATAAATGTTATATTTTCTCTAAATGCTAGTGAAAAGTTTAATTAAGCATTAAGGAATTTGACTTTGTTTCAAATGTATTCACGGGAAATGGCGTACGTTAATCAAAGCTTAACAAAAGCAAAATGTAAAGACTTAGACACAGACAACGGACTCACTTGTAAAAGCTAATTAAACATCAATTGAGTGGTTTAGATTTAATTATATAATCTTCTGTAAAAGGAGTATAAGGAAGT